AGCTCCAGAATCTACAGTTTCTTCGCCTTCTTCCTCTGCAAATCTGTTTCACTTCACCGATACAAACAACAAAGACGAGATTTTTCGCTGAGCTCTTGACAAGGTAATTGAAGTTTATCTCCATTATTCACACTTTTTCTATTTTTTTAATTTTAGTATATTTATTGGATTTTGATGGAATCTGAAAAGACAATGACTAGGACCCGATGATTTCGGTTTCTGGGTCTGGAGAAAAATTAGGGATTTAACTTTGTATTAATCTCAAAATTCAGAATTTGGGGGAAAAAAAAAAAAAAATCAGTCCTTGGATTGCAAGAAACCCTAACCTCTTCGTTTGTTGTTTCTTTCTTTCGCAGTGATGGCTACACTAAACGATATCGGAGTAGCAACAGCGATCAACATACTAACCGCATTCGCGTTCTTCATCGCCTTTGCGATACTTAGGCTTCAACCTGTTAATGACAGAGTCTATTTCCCTAAATGGTATCTCAAGGGTTTAAGGAGTAGCCCTATTCAATCAGGTGGCTTCGTTAGCAAGTTTGTCAATTTGGATTTTCGATCTTACGTTCGATTCTTGAATTGGATGCCTCAAGCACTTAGAATGCCTGAGCCTGAGCTCACTGATCATGCTGGTTTGGATTCTGTTGTCTACTTGAGGATTTACTTACTCGGGTATGTATAGTAAACAAAACCCTTGGATTTTCTTTGAGTGATAGTGTGCGTTCTATTCGGTTTTAGTTTGATGATTTTGTGATCAATGCAGGTTGAAGATCTTTTTCCCAATAGCATGTCTAGCTTTCACTGTAATGGTGCCGGTTAATTGGACTAACTCCACATTGGATAAGTTACAGAATCTGACTTTCAGTGACATTGATAAACTCTCTATATCAAATATACCGAATGGATCATCGAGGTAAGGAAAGACCGAGTTTTAGCTTTGATTTTTCTATAATGTGATGTCCCCTTGATTCTATTCTTGCTCGTATATGTGTACAGGTTTTGGGTGCATTTGTGTATGGCTTATGCTATTACTTTCTGGACTTGCTTTGTCCTGAAACGAGAGTACAAGATTATCGGTTCCATGAGGCTACAGTTTCTTGCATCCGAGCAAAGGAGACCTGACCAGTTTACTGTAAATTGAATTCTGAATCTCTCTTGGTCCACTCAGCTTCTGAGATTTAATGTCTAATGTAATCGTTTTTTTTTTCCCGATTAATTTAGGTCCTGGTGAGGAACATTCCTCCAGATCCTGATGAATCAGTCAGTGAGCTTGTTGAACATTTCTTTAAGGTCAACCATCCAGACTACTACCTCACTTACCAGGTAACAACTTTGGTTCTCTGACTTATGATGATCCATTGTGGATGTGTTGCTATTCGTTCCGCTTTGATTTATCTTCCGGTTCTTAAAAAACAGGCGGTCTACAACGCGAACAAACTTTCTGAATTGGTTCAGAAGAGAAAAAATTTGCAGAATTGGCTTGATTACTATGAAAACAAACAGTCTAGGAATCCATCTAAAAGGCCTGTAATAAAGGTATATGCAATCACATTGCTTTCATTTTTTCAAATGTAATCTTCTCTTTCGTTGAATCTTGATAACTCTTCTACTTCCTTGAGCAGACAGGTGTTCTTGGCTGTTGGGGTGTAGAAGTTGATGCAATCGATCACTACACGGAAAAAATCGAGGGTCTAACGAGAAAAGTAAAGGCGTCTTACTCTTACTCTTGTGTTGGGAAAATCACGATCTCCCTTGTTGCCTCTTACTCAAACTTCACTTTGATGGTTTTTCAGATAAGCGTAGAGAAGGAGACGGTAATGAGCAGCACAAAATCGCTCGTGCCCGCAGCTTTTGTATCCTTCAAAAGGCGTTGGGGAGCAGTTGTTTGCTCTCAAACTCAACAGTCAAGAAATCCGACAGAGTGGCTAACCGAGTGGGCACCAGAACCCCGTGATATCTACTGGGACAATCTAGCATTACCATATGTTCAACTTACAATCCGAAGACTAGTAATAGCCGTCGCTTTCTTCTTCCTCACTTTCTTCTTCATGATTCCCATAGCATTTGTGCAGACACTTGCCAACATCGAAGGCATCGAAAAGGCTGTGCCTTTCTTGAAACCTCTCATCGAAATGTATGTAATCAAACCTTAATTACTTCTCTGTTACTTTGCTCGCGATATTTCTCTCTGAATTCTTGATTTGTGTGTGTGTGGACAGGAAGACGATAAAGTCATTCATCCAAGGTTTCCTTCCGGGTATCGCATTGAAGATATTTCTCATTGTCCTCCCAAGTATACTGATGCTAATGTCGAAATTCGAAGGTTTCATAAGTAAATCTTCGTTAGAAAGACGATGCGCGAGCAGATACTACATGTTCCAGTTCATCAACGTTTTCCTCTGTAGCATAATCGCCGGTACCGCGCTTCAACAGCTTAACAGCTTCTTAAACCAATCTGCAACCGAAATCCCCAAGACGATCGGTGTGTCAATACCGATGAAAGCCACTTTCTTTATAACCTACATAATGGTGGACGGATGGGCCGGTGTTGCGGGAGAGATACTGAGGTTGAAGCCATTGATAATCTATCATCTCAAAAACTCCTTCCTTGTGAAAACAGAGAAAGACAGAGAAGAAGCAATGGATCCAGGAACCTTAGGATTCAATACCGGTGAACCACAAATACAACTCTACTTCATTCTCGGTCTAGTTTACGCCGCTGTTAGCCCCATTCTCCTTCCTTTTATCCTCGTCTTCTTCGCCTTAGCTTACGTGGTTTACCGTCATCAGGTCAAACAGAACCCATCTCTGTTTTTCTCTAAATCATATCCCAAGCCTTTTAAAGAAACTAAGATCTAACCCGCTTTGTTTCTTCGTTGTTGCAGATTATAAATGTGTATAACCAAGAGTATGAGAGTGCTGGATCATTCTGGCCTGATGTTCATAGACGTGTAGTGATTGCTCTGATCGTATCTCAGCTTCTTTTGATGGGATTACTTAGCACGAAACGAGCTTCTCGTTCGACTCCATTGCTTTTTATACTTCCTGTGTTAACCATTGGGTTCCACAAATTCTGCAAAGGACGTTACGAACCTGTCTTTGTCAGATACCCATTACAGGTTTACTAGTGTCTCTGTGACTGGTCGGTCCATCAAGAAATGAGTCTACTTTCTGACTTGTGATGATGTCTTTTTTTTTGCAGGATGCAATGGTTAAAGATACGTTGGAACGCACCAAGGAACCGAATTTGAACTTGAAAACGTTTCTTCAAAACGCTTATGCACACCCGGTGTTTAAGGCCGCGGATGATCTAGAGAATGAGATGGTTGTGGAGGAGCCGGCGCCTGATCGGACGCCGGATTTAGTGGCGACTAAACGCAGCTCAAGGAGGTTTCATAGTGGCAATGTTGAAACCTTGAGTTAGTAATAATGTTATTGTTAGTGATAAGTGTTGAAGAGGATTTTAGTTCTTTTTTTATGAATGATTTTTGTTTTTTTTAGGTTATGGAAGAAATTTTCCATCTTCATTAAGGTCAAAGGGTACTACAAAAATTCGATTTTTGAAAATTTTACCTAAAATAACCCAGTTTTTAAAAAGAATTATTAGAATAACTTCTTAAAATTTTTATTGTTCACATAATCTACTTTACATTTTGTTTCTTTCATAATACCAAAAATATCCCTACTAACTAATTAAAATTAGAAATAGATTTATTTTCAAACAAAAACATTTCAAATAAAAAAATAGACACAAAATTTAAAAAGTTATTATCAACAAAATACAAAACACTCAAGAGCCAATGTTTTCGTAAATTATTATTTTTTTTTGTAAATTCTACATTTTTTTGACAAAGTCTGCCAATACTTTCGCAGAGTCTACGCTTCCGCAGAGTCTGCCATTGTCTCGATAGAGTCTGCGTTTTTAGTAGAGTCTGCCAATATATCAATAGAGTTTGCGTCTTTTTGGTAGTGTCTACCAATATCTCGGCAGACTCTGCGCTTTTCTAGATACTGGCAGACTCTGCTAATATCTCGGTAGAGTCTACTAATATCTTGGCAGAGTCTACCAATATTTTAGCAGAGTCTACTAATGTTTTGGCAGAGTCTGTGAATTTCTAGATATTGGTAGAGTATGTCAATACATCGGTAGAGTCTGTCAATACATTGGTAGAGTCTACCAATGTTTCGGCAGAGTCTGCCAATATCTTAGCAGTGTCTGCTATTATCTCGGCAGAATCTGCCATTATCTCGGCAGAGTCTACCAATGTTTCGGCAGAATCTACCAATATCTCAGCAGAGTCTACCAATATCTCGGTAGAGTCTGTGGTTTTCTAGTAGACACTTTAATTTTTTTTGCTAAAATGTTGGTAGATAGTCTGCTAGTCTACCATTGTCTCGGTAGAGTCTGCCAATATTTTGGTAGAATCTGCGAAGGACAATTTTGGTATTATGAAATAAAAAAAATTCAGAATAGGTTATTTCAATAATAAAAAAAATAGTAAGATTATTCTAGCTATTTAAGAAAAAAAAGTAGGTTATTCTAGATAATCTCCCTAGATTTTATCAAAAACAAAAATTTTATGATAGTTTCTTAAGAACAACGAAGTTCAAAATATAATTTTATATATCAAAAATATAAATAATAGATATTGATAAAATAGCCTAAACATTAAAATAAATTTTTTTTTTTTTGAACCTTAAAATTAAATTGTTTTTTAATAGTTTTTTAATTGAAAGAGGTTTTATCCCCCAAAAAATGAGTGTTTTTTTTGTTTTTGCTAAAAAAAAAGAGAGTGTTTATGATGATTGAAACCACATCAGATTATGTAATTCAGAATGGTTTTATTTTGTTTTTGTGGAATAATTCTCTGATTAGAGTAAGAGATTTTCGTAAAATACGTAACGAATTTTGATG